GTATTACCGTTCGAATACGGTACTCTACTAACTAAGCTATGAGGCCAAGTGGTATACACCCTTGGATTTTCCTATTGGGACACGTTTTTTCTCAAAGTATTGCGTAATACTCAATAAAAAATCGTAATTCACAAGAAAGTAACTTAGGTATGGAGATAAACCTCCACTGGTGATTAAAGATTGAATATTTGAGAAAAAACATTTGTCCCCATTTATTATTATCTATTGTATACCATAATTATATAATATATTTATACATATCAGAGAACAGTTAAATTTAACTGTTCCCTGATACATATATATATATATAATATAATTAAATATAATATAATATAATAATAAATTCTGCATTGATATACACGTGTTGTTAATTATATACACGCACTGTACCGACCTTGCAATTTTTACACATCATGTTTATATACAACAACATAAAATTACAAATGATTGATAAAAATTAATTTTTAGAAAAGTCAGTAAGCTTTCTCAAAGTTCAGATAGGCCTATTAGAAAATTATGCGTATTTCACATTGTAAATTTGATTTTTTTTTTCAAAATTTATCCAATCAGCCCAAATATCTATCTACCAAATGATCATTCAATGCGCTTTGAAGTTGAACTATTCTGAGAAGAGTGGTAAGGTACGTCTAGACAAAGGCCATACTATACTAAAGTTAAATAAATGGAACTAAATATTTAATTATTTATAGCATCTATATTTTCTGTAATTATCAATGTTTTCTGACGTTGCCATGACAACAGCAGATCACAACTTTCAAATATTAGTACTCTACCACTAAACTATACGGCCAAGTGGTACCTCTTGGATTTTCCCATTGGACACACATTTGTCTTCATTTATTATTATCTATATATGTATACCGTATATATAATATATACCGTATATATAAAGGTGATTGTTCATAACTAGGTGGTATAGCTGTCGTAGCTGTCTCTTATACATGAAGGAAGTTAGCCGTTAACACTGTTGAAAAGCTACAGGGTAGCCTACGATGTTCCATCATGTCCTTATTAAACACTGTATATGTACCTTTGATGATTTATATTATATATATATATATATATATATATATATATACATAATATAGGCCTAATTAGATATAATATAAAAATACATTCTCCATTGATATACACAATTGTTATTTATACACGCATGGTATCGAACCTGCAATTTTTACACATACTCTCGTGTTTATATAACAACATAAAATTACAATGATTGATACAATGATTGATAGTCAATAAGCTTTCCCAATGGTTAGATATTAGCCAATTATGCTTTTACATTGCAAATTTGACTCTAGACAAAAGCCATACTCTACTAGATTTGAATCAATGGAACTAAATATTTAATTATGTATAGCATTAACATTTTCTTTATCATTATTTTGCTGAGGTTGCCAAGACAACAGCAGATTAAAATTTTGAAATACAGTGCACCCTCCAATTCTAGGCCCCTCTAATTCCGGGACCCTCTAATGCGAGACCACTTTTCCAAAGACCTAAATAACAATCTTCAACCTTTTTAACACAAAGCTAGCCCTCTAATTGGAGAGCAATCCCGAGACCACCCCAAATTTTCAGGTCCCAAGGGTGTTTTCAATTGGAGGGCGAACTGTAGTTGCGGATATGGGTTATCTGTGTCATTCGTTTCTTAACATAAAACTGTGTGATCAAGTGATTGTTCATAACTAGGTGGTATAGCTGTCGTAGTATGGGTCTCATGAGGAGGCGCTGGTACACCGGGAGGGGTGTAGGGGGGTGGTGGTCCAGGTCCTACAACTAACTCCTCTCGAATTTGATCGTCATTAAAATAAGGATCGCCTGGTGAAGTAGGAGGTTCCACTATGTCCCGAGTCCTGTCCCGCGTTGCCATCTGTGATAACGACGCTTGATTGTTAAGCGATTGAAAGTCCTCGTGACCAACTACCATTGTTTCAGGATCCGGTCGAAGAATAATTTCGTCAGTCAATACTGGCGGGTCTATAATACCATCGGCGTTACGGTCTGCATAAGATGGCGGTGATAAATAGAGCACGGGATCAAGCGCAAAATTATCGTGTTCTAAATGTGCTATTGGTGAACATGAACACTGATTTAAATCTGATACAAAAAATGGACCTAACTCAAGTTCGAAATTCACAGGTCGGTTTCTGAATGATTGCAATCTTTGTTCTCTCTTAGTTCTACGTTGAATAATACATTCATGAAGATGTCCCGAGAACCATCTTGTAAATATTATTAATATGACTAGGATGACGACAATTGCAAGAATTATTCCTAAGACTCCGATTGTTGATATAAACGTAGGCATTGCGACACTATAAGAATAATAGAAATGATAAGTGAGATACAATTTTTAAAAAAAAGTACCGGTAATATTTTTTGGCTTAAAGTATTATCCCACTCACTATATCGACAAGGTTAACACTTTGTTACTTCCAACATTCTGGCAGAGAATACATCGACCAATTGTTGTGCTAAACAATTGCACTCAGCAAATTCCACCTTTGTGTTTTATTATGTTAACCATTATTTTGTAAAAGAAGATTATCTTTTATATATATATATATATATATATATATATATAACA